CAAATTGCCATTCTTAGTGTAATAGTCCTTCACAGTCCTTCAACCAAGTATCATGTGGCTTGATTTCTTTCTCTTTTGTTTTTTCCCCTTTTCTTGTTTAGCATCCCTCAATATTTAGCTTTTTGACTGATTAACTTAATCTTTGTAATGATATGGTATGGTTTTATTGAGTTGCAGTAGTATTTGAGGGCCCAAAATGGGGCCTCAAGATTGTTTTTTCTTAATAAGAGATGATGTACAAACACATCAGAAAAGACAATTCATGCCCTGGAGAGCTCAAACCCCTAACTGTTAGTATAGGAAAGCTAGCAGGGGACACAATGACAGAGAATTGAAACAACTCTCCAAGGTCATAGCAGGAAAAAACAAAAACAAAACAACAACAAACCTGAAAAAACACTGGATATGGGCATGGAAACAAGATGAGTGTCCTATCTGTGCAGATTTTCCTTTTATTGTGCACCATACTTTGTGGAAAAGAATGTTTAAAATATTTTCTTAATAACAGTGCTTGCTATATCTGTCCTTGCAAAGATTTAAACTAAACTTATTAAAGAGTAATTTGCAAGTAGCAGTGGAAGTTTGCTGACAATCTTGCTGAAATCATATCCTTGAATCAGATTCATGTTGAATCCCCGGTTGGAAGTGTTAACTTTTTTTTTTTTGCTCTTCTGAGTGTGAGCAGTATTGTACTCTGGTATTAATGTTGCAAATCATGGGGTTAGTTCTTTAGCAGGCAAAGATTGACATAAGCATTTTTTTCCCCCAAGACTCCTTTTCAGTATGTATTAACACAAAGAACAAGATCATCAGCTAATTTCAGTATTGTGGTTTTTAGCAGCTAAAGTCTTTTAATATTTCTAGTGTTCATTTCTATGCATGGAAAAAATCTTACTTTAGTGGTCTTGCTTTGATATTTAACTTCATAAGACTTCACTACCAAATACTAATTGAGCTTTGAAACTTCTGTCAGGCATTCCATCCAATTCTGTTTTTAATACAGTTCAATAAAATCCCATCTAAAATGATGGGATATGGAAGCCCATTCCATAGTCCGGGTCTTGCCAAAGTGTGTGCCACAGTTTTGGGCACAGTCAGAAAATCTGCGGTCAAAACACTTCAAAAGGTGAGGAACTGAAATGCAGCCCAGTTATCTTTTGTATTTAGTCGGAGCATCGTTTGGAGAGTACTCTGGAGATCATGAAAATCTCCTGTATGTGGAGGATGGAAACACTAGAAATTTAGTCCCGTGTTAAATTATTATCTCTTAAACAGGCAATCTGAGTATTGTTCTAAATGCTAAAGATAATGGTAAGAAGTTTAAGAAATACCAAGATTTAGAATAAAAGGGAAGTCGGCAGCTTTTCTTATATCACCATGAATAGATTTCACCAAAGATCTAATACACTGTAGGCTTTTTCTGAGTTAATAGTGGAGCTCTTCCCCTCTGGAATATTGTCCAATATGGACTGTAATATTGAATAGATGGCGAGTCCATTTGGAGATTAGTTTCTTGCTTTTCTTAAAGCAGAAAGGCTTTATCAAAAAGAATGTCAAAGGCAGTTTTATGTAAAGAGACAGATCTGTAATTAATTGCAGCATTTGCAGGCACTGTTTTCTACTGGGAATAATGCATATTCAATACTAGTTTAATTGTTTATTTAAAGTAGCTTAATGAGCTCTGCAGAGGCAGGAAAACACTGAATAATGCAAACTAAAATGATAAAAATGCTTTGATATTATTTTCTCATTGACTGTCAACAACCTCTGAGTAAGATGCTGCATATGATTGTTGTCTTCAAAAACGGTGGTGAGGGAGCTTTTCTGATGACTGTCCACCTGCTAGCAGGAGACACTAATACCTTTCTGCAATAGCACTGGCACTTGTCTGTGCACTTACGTTTGTCATGAGAGCCAGTTCTGCTGTCTGGACTACATCTTTTTAAATACCAATGTGAGAGGCCTCCTATTGGTTTGAGAAGCAGTCTTAAATTTTTCAGCTTTCATATCAAAATGATTATTTTGCTGGTATATGTTATTACTACCTACTATTGAGTAGGTACTTGCAAGAACCATTTTCTATATGACTGTACAGGTTATTTTAATGATGAGGCAGCACTTGCACACTTTTGTTTGCAGCCTCTGATTAATTTTGCTGGTATTAACTAGGGATGAGTGAGAAAATTCTTATCAAACGTCCTTTATAATCCATGCAGATGAATACTCATATAACAGATGAAATAAAAAGCAAAGGATGATTCTAATTTTGTAAGGGGAATTCCAAACTTCCCTTGAAACAATAAGTGGCATCTTGCTATAAAATAATAAAGAATCTTTGAAGCTAATAATGAGGGTGAAGAGGAAGAACTTGGCAGATCCAGCTCTGCAGTTTATCCACCCCGTGTTCCTTGGGCACTGCATCCATCCAGCAACGAGAGCTGTCCTGGTCCCAGACCTTCTGCCAGGGCAACACGGAAACAGAGCAGTGCTCAACTTGGAGCAGAGATTTAAGCAGCTCTCAGCAAAATTTTCAACTAGATTAAATACAAATAGTAGAGGAAGTATCTGGCCTACATTAACTCAGCTGCAAAATGCTTTTGCCCATTGGCTTTACATGCTGTACATGCTGGATTCCTCCTTCCAAAAGGAATCTGGGATGAATCCCTGTTGCTCTATTTGCAGTTTCCCTCTTGGACATTAGTTTTCTTTCTAAAAGGATGTTACAATGTGCACTGAACTTTAAGTGAAAGGTATGTAATCAGGTATTGTGTAAGGACATCTGTCAGGCAAATAAGACATGTGTTTTAAATTAAAAGATAATAAATTCAGCAATTAGCCACTGCAAGAGCTTTAAAGACAGGAGTATAGAGGCTAAGGCTTTTTAGACTATTTTTAGAATTTTTGTTTTCTCTCAAAAGAGCATTCCCTCTCCCCAGTCCCTTTCAATTTTTATGCCTGTGGGTTAGTAGAATGTAAATAGTGGTATAATTTTTCATATTAAGCATCTTCCTAAGCAGCTGTCTGTTTTTAGAGCATTTAATGAAAGATCTCTTGCAACAGAGTGGTGCAACACTTAAAAATTTGGCATAAGCTGATAAATATACAGCTAAGTGTAGCATTTTTCTAGTGAGATAGACTACAGGTGACTCTTCTTAAGAGAAAGGAAGGAGTAAGGTGATGTTGGGAATATAGTACAAACCAAGTTCTCTGTGGTTAGCCCAAATCAATTGGTGTTACAAGAAACTTACCCTTGATTAACCATGCATTTTTGCTAGAGAGGTTACTTCATGACATAATGACTGTCTGTTTGAAAATCCTAGTGATTGTTACTTTATTCAAAATACAAAATTTTGTTGATTTCTAGGAGGTTTGTAACATAACTGATTCATCTGAACAGACTTGAATGTGTGAGCTGTCATTTGGAGATATATTAGTTGCTTGGGATCCCAATCTTTATCTAGAAAAGGAAGAAAGGGAAGCATAATTTTAGTAGTTTGTCTGGATTGCATCATATTCCTTATTAATAGCTGAAAAGCAAATATCAGATGGATATGCTGGTAAATGGTATAAACAAGGTGTTGCAAGTAAACTAGCTGTTAACTCTAAGTGCAGAAAAAATGCGAGAACAGCAAGTGAAACTCCCTAAATCACAGCACAGAGCAGAACATCTGCTTTGATATTCTCTTAGCAATGTATAGAGGTGTGAAGAGAAAGATGTCAAACTCTTCAAATTGGCCCTTCAAAAATTTGAAGTGGTTTGGTCACATAAGGTGCCTATTCCTTGTAAAGCAAATATGTCAAACTACTTCAGCTTGTGTTGTTTTGCTAACGTGGAAGTTTTGTCAATTCTGGGGTCACTAGAGACAACATTTTCTTTGTTTTGCTTTAATGAGACTATAGCGTTTATCTCAACCCAACATACCAGGTAATCTATTTTTCTAGAACTGACCAGAATGAATGAAATATAATATGTAAATGGTCTATATCCAATGTGAAAGGCATGTTAAAGTTAAGTTTTTCTGCATTTTAATAGTTTAAAGAGTTGATCCTCAAGTGAAGGGAGTGTGTGTGTGTGTGTGTGTAAGTAAATCGGACTATTTCACCAATGCAGGGTGGCAGATACTGTTCTCAATTCAGTGGTCTAAGAAAAGACTGATTTCACTGGATTTGCAGTCATGTCAGTTCTGGAATTGGAACTGAGTCCAGTTCATTTGGAAATATCAAACATATATCATTTAGGATGTGAGGTCTGTTTTCGATTTGACTTTTTAAATACAAAATGTGTTAATATAATGATAAAAGTTAAAGCTAGCTAGCTTTTTAAAGTTTAACTGTTTAATTGTACATTTAATTGTAAATGATAGCAAATTTCACCCTTAAATGCAAAGACTCATCCTATTAATACTAAGTACAGGAAAAAGCTATTTAATCTTATTCTTTCCTACCATGAATTGAGGTCACTGTTCTGGTAAATCACTTTCTAGGTCTTTGATATCTGCATTATTCCCACTTCAATCTAATGAATGGGCAGAACAGTATCTCTAATCCTGTGCACAGGGTAAAGTAAGGGTAGCCAAGTCCAAAGGAAGGAGGGATATGATAATATGAGTAGGAAGAATATACCAAATGTATAAGGTGTTTTTTCCTTTTCCTAAAAGACTTTCTGAACAGCCACAGGGATTAGAGCTTGAGGAAGGGTCACTGCAGGCAGGTAGATGCTGCTTCTTTGGTGTTTCTAATGGCTTGTGGGTCAAGGCAAAAAGAAGAACAAGCTGGAAAACAGACAGGATAAGCAACAGCTGATAAATGCAGCAAAAGTGCATTTTGGTTGCCTGTCCTGCAAACAGGATACCTGGCTGAGATCAAGGCTGACTTCTGTTATCTGCTCTTGAAAGACTGCCTGTATAGTAAGAATTTGAAAGAAAGCGCTTAGCTTTTCAGACTTAGTAAATGCTGAGCTTTAAGGTTTTAATTCACTGAATAAAGCTTTCTCCTAACAGGATGCTTTTGAAATAATGGCTGAAAATTATGAATTCAAAGAAAATGAAATATTTTCCTTGGAATTTCTGCGAGCGGCTTCTGTGCTGAAATTTCTTCCATTTCCAGTGGTCAGAATGAAAGACATACAGGGCTTGCCCTGCATGGGAGACCAAGTCAGAGACATCATTGAGGTACCTTCTGTAAAACTTAAGTCTCTATACTTTTCTTAAATCTGTACCAAATAAATAGCTCTCATAGAAAGGCCTGTTATGAATAGATGCAACTTATAGATGAATAGATATAAGCAGTGTGGGGTGATCTGCACGTATTGCTTTAGTAAGGTAATTTGTATGTGACAGGTTAACTGTTAGTTTTATTTGTGTCACTCTGCCCTTGACCATATTTCTCAGTTGAATGCAAATACTGTTTTTGCAAAACAGATAAATATTTTAGTACTTTAATGTTAAATCCTACCTTGCTGTGACTTATAGGCCCTTTTATCTAGGTGATGGATACACTTTACGTTCTTATTAGAGCTTTGAATATCCCCGGCTCTTTTCTTTAGTTCTTGGCCTTCTCAAGACCCTGCATCTTAGTTACTGATATTCTAATAGGCAGCTGGTAGGAGCATCTTAGCTGCATGGAGAGGTGATTATGGAGTGCTGTGAATCAGTTCTGCTCCTCTTCTGTCTTGTTCCACCAGTTTAAAAAAAAAAAAAAAAAAATTGTGCACATGCTACCTGGGGACTACAAATTCAATTACAGTGCCTCAGATGATAGGATGGAGGTTTTTTCCTCCTCATCAAAAAGACTAAAGGGAGCATAATTTAATAATAATAAAAAAAAAACCCTACTCTTACAGAGGTCCTATTTTTTTGAGAGGTAAACTAAAATAATGAAACAGTTTTCAGAGCAACTCATTGATACTTGAGTTATTTTCGAGTTGTCAATTTATGAGAAATAAATACTTCAAAATATAGTCTATGATCCCAGTTTTTGTTCATCCTTGAGTAAATGAGAGTTCTGTGTGGGATAAGTGCTACTGAATTTGATCCTGATGCAACATGCAAGGAGGCTTTCCATCTTCGTGCAGATTGATGTAACTATTTTATTACTTTCTGTAGTTTTTAATTTAAAAAGAAATGTTTTTCTTTGTTTAGGAGATCATTGAAGAAGGAGAGAGTTCTAGAGTTAAAGATGTGTTAAACGATGAACGATACAAATCATTCAAGGTAAATCTTTCTTACCTTAAGCATGTGCTGCTGCTGCTATTTAATGCTGCATGTAATTGTGCATTTAATAGATATAAGGCATAACTTTCAATTTTATAAGGCAAATCCCTATATGAAAACCCTACCCTCGAAAGAGGGAAAGACAGTGGCAGAGAAAGAAATAACTCTGAAATCAGTTATTTTAATTAGTGTGATACTTGCATACAGCCTGTTAAGCTCAAACTAAACAGTCTTTTTTCTCTGATAACTAAAGTAGAATATTGCATCTTGATGCAAGTTTTACCCAATATATTTTTACTGATTGCATTATAGCAGTAGTTCTTTTCTGATGACTCAGAGCTATTTTAGCTCTCTTCTATGTGAAGCAAAATAAGAAAAACTAGGACCATATAGTTTGTATTTTAGATGTAGAGTATGAAAATGGATTGGTCAGTTTTCTTAAATATGGGTCTAGGTGCTGCAGAGGAAGAACTTTAGCCAGCTGAAACCCAGCAATTCTTGAATACCCAAGCAAAAAAAATGACTATCTCTTCCTCAGAACACTCTTGGCAGCATCTTGGAACTGGTCACTCTAAATCTGCTGAGTAATAATGGATCTTAGTATGGGAACATTAGCACTATTTTTTTTCCCTAGAAATTCAGGTAATGGCATAGGTTCTACTTTCTTTAGGTGTTTGCACACATTACACAGTTACACAATGAAGTTTGCTGGAATAGTCATGAACCAAGAAATAGATTCTTTTGAAAATGTAGTGCTAGCAAACATTAAAAGATAGCAATCTAAAGGATTAGAAATACCATGTTCTTTCACAAATCCAAATGCCTCAAAGAGTAGGTAATTTTAGGAGTTAGGTGTAAAATGTTAGGCAATTCCCAGTTAAAATTATTCAAGATTTTCATCCTTCCATTTTCTTTATCATAATTATTCTCAAGGAATTAATTTCGTTAGAAAAACACCAGATAAAACAGGTTTGCAGTTTAAAGGTTGTAGATTTGAGGAAAAAGGACAGTTACTTGTACATAACTATTCATTGAATTCAGTAATAGCACAATGAAGCTGTTGAGAGCTTCAGTATCGACAAAGTAAAGACAGAATGTGCTTTTGGACGAGCCTGAAGGATTTCTCCCCTGCTTTCATATCATTATTTATCTGTGATATTGATCTAATAAATAATACTTACATCTATGATATTCTTTTTGAGGGAATAAATTAATATGTAAACTGACTGGTAAGAATTGAAATATAACTGTAGAAAAACTTCAGAGAATGATTATTTTGGGATGCTATCTTTTCTAGCGGGCTAAATAGTGAGCTGTGTTTGAGATGAGACTGAGAGGATTTTAGATTGGCTCACATAAAGATGGTAAGAGTTCACTTATGATAAGGCAGCAATGAAAATCATTGCTGTCTTGAAATAGCATCCCCTTTTGGAAAACAGTATTTGATGTCTTCCAAACACTTATGTTTTATAAGATGCAGTACAAATTGGGACTACAGAATTCAATGCCTTTATGTTCTTACCTATAGTGATGTGTGATTAAGACCCATTGCTCTTCATGTAGAATATGAAGAGCTCTGTGTTGCCACTGATCATGTCTCTTGGGAGTGCAATGGCACCAATATCAAGCGAGTGGCAGGTCATATATAGAATACAAAATCATGATGTCAGTCAAATTATATAATTGTACTGAGATGTTTCTTCATCTTTGTCAGTTGGAGGTAATCTACCTGCATTATTTGTGTCTCTTAATCACTTCGTTTGCTAAAAATAAGGACCAATTATTTCCGATGTTTGTTGATTTGGCCAAATCATACAAAGATACTGCGGATGCTGTTGTACTATTTTTTAGATGTCACTTTAGTGAGAACTGGCCATGTATGAAGACTATTATCTGCAGGGGGCCAGTGTACAGAGAGGAAGCTGTGTCTGTATTATGCTTTTTTTCCAGTAAAGAGTGAATTCTTCCTAACAGTTTCATTGTTAAACTTGTTTGTTAACAACTTGCTGGCTTGTTAACTACTTATTGGTAACTCTTTTAGAAAAACTGAAGTCTATATTCTTTCCCTGAACTTAGCAATTTACTTCTGTTTTTGGAGTGGGAGTGAAGACATCTGAGAAATGGTACAGGATGGGATTACGGACTTTGGAAGAGGTAACAGCTGAGAAGACCCTGAAACTATCAAAAATGCAGAAAGTAGGTAAGATCCCTATAAAAGTCTCATTAAAAGTTCAGCATCCCTGTGCTCTGAGATCTTGAAAACAGAATCGTTGTAGAGACAAAGGTTTATTCATCTATTTTTATTGTTAAGATATCTTTGGAATATTATGTTGAAAAATAATAGTTGGGATATTGGAAATCTTTAAAATGTCATTCCAAAAATACAAATATGTGTTTTTTAATACTGATATAGATGCCCCAAATCTGCTTCTATACACAAAGCTATTAACAGGACATTATTACACAGGTTGTGGAAACTCCAAAGCTAGGACTATTTTTCAGAGGAGACTTGTCGTGTACAAGACAGCCCTCCTCTAGAGATGAATCAAGTTTTAGAAGTAATTTATGGACACGTACAGAATAACACCATAATCTTGGCATATCTTAATTCATTGTCTTTGGCAATGAGTTTTAAACATCATCAAATGAATAATGTTCCTTCACTTTTCTGTGTTGCTTCTTTAAATAAAGAACCCATTTAAATAAATGAAGCTACCACGTGTGCTTCCCCAGAGGGAAACCCCTGACGTTTGGGTCAATTTGAATCAACTTTGCTGAAGATTTGGATCTTGGTGGGACCCATAGTAGTTCTAAGTCATTCCTCCAATTGGCTCATATGAATTAGAAAAGAGAGAGGTTTATAGTAAGATAAAAAGATGGTGTTTGCTTCAATCTGAAAGGGAAAACTAGGCCTGGGATTGGGACAATCGGCAGTCCTGCAGGTGTTTTCTGAGGGAGGTTGGTAGGATCTGGGACAATAGGCAGTCCTGCAGGTATTTTCTGGGGGAGGTTGGTAGGATCTGCTCTATGGTGGAAGTTTCTGCTCTATTGGGCAAAATAAGTGAGGTATAAGTCATAAAGGGGCACTTTGATCTTCTGCATATGGAGTGATTTGACTTCTTATTGGCTCCTTATTTCACACCTGGCTTAGCTATTGCAATGTAGATTTTCATAATTTCACTTTGGTTGCTGTTTTACCTTTGCTTAGGACTTCTGTACTATGAAGACCTTGTTAGCTGTGTATCTGAGGCAGAAGCAGATGCAGTAGGCCTGGTTGTCAAGAAAGCTGTGCATACATTTCTACCTGATGCTTTAGTTACTCTAACTGGTGGTTTCAGAAGGTGAGTCAGACAACTAACGTGGTTACTTGACACTTATTTATGCAGCTTTAATGATTTGTGTTTCTTGCAGAGACTGACGAAACTAAGTGTGAAAATATAGAAGTTTATTTTTAATATTTTTTTTTAATTGGGATAGTAATCCTAGGGCCATGTGATACCTCTGTGACATTTCAGGTTAATTTTCTATTTGATTATTTTTTTCTAAAGCTTTCAGTTTTTCTCTATAAAACCGAACTCAAAAATGTAGCTCCAGACCTGCATGATTAATTCTTCCAGTACATGAGCATATTTCTGAAGCCACAAAGCAAAGTATTAAGACTGAGAATAGTCTTCTGGGGTACTGGGCTCCCTGCTATGTATTTAATATGCTGTTAAGTTGCTGCTTATGCATGTCATGCTCAATAAAATAAAATACGCTAACATCTTAGTTAACACTAAATTCTACTGTTGAATTGTTTTTTCTTTGAAACTTTTTATTTTGTATGAAAGTCTTTCAAGAATAGTTAAAACATTTTCAGAAATGCAGTTCTGTCAATCTTTCTTATGTAACTCAAACAGTATGGGAGGGAAGACAAAATTAAAACATTAATAATTAGCATCTTAATCATGTGATTTAATATGGTGTACTTAGGATTTCATGGACTCATTCCCATGACATCAGTACTAAAATTAGGATCTTGTACACTTTGTAATTGCAACTGTAATTTCACAGCATTTGTGATGGATGCATTTCATTCCCTTTGTGCCACCTTGTATTTATTTCAATTATTCTTTGTGTTCAATAATTACTGCAAAGTTATTTGCAGCCCCTAGCTACATTTTTTTTGGAAATATGTGAAATAAACATGAATCCTAAGCTTGAAATGAGCCCTGAGCCCCTTATATGAGAGCAAGATGGGAATTTATATTCAGGAAACTCGCATGTCATCATGCTGCCCCTCTGGGCTCAAGAGGAATGGGATGCCAATCTGTACACACAGATGCAAACCAGCCAGGGACCTTGTGCTTTCAGTAGCTTGGCTATAACTGATTTACACGTTCCTAGAGAGGTCAGAGGGTTGCAGGGACTTAACTGTCATCCCACTCAATACTGCCAGCTTCTCCTGATACAACATGTGCACGAGGCTTGTTGGCAGCAGAGTCCTGTGCAATGTGTGAATGTCAGAGGTGCACATGTGAGCCTGCTGCTAGCTTATTTCAGCGAGATGTGCTAGCAAAATATTCTTTTTTTCTAAGAATATTTTGGTATTTGGACATGGCAAACCAGAAGTGAAAGTACATAAGGATTTAGTTATGACTTGAGTCAGTTATACTGTATATTAATTATATGCCTTTAAAATGTACAGAGAGTATTAAATCTCAAAATATGTTCAATATATTCAACATGCTCAATCTCAGGCAAAATTTAACTAGCTTCTTAAAAAGAAATGCTGCAAGAAATGCCTTGTTTTTAATATTTGGTCTGTAACTTGGGAAAAAGAAGCACTGATTGTTTTGCTCCAGGTTTGACCAGAGATGGTAGTTGAGAGTCTCCACCTGATATTCCTGAAGGCTGTGCTAGGGCCTGACTTGCTTTTCAAGAACTTGCTTTTCAAGAACTTGTTTCAAGAACAATATTTGCAGGATTAAGGCACTACTTTTTTGTTGCTGTTTTTTTCCTTATTTTTTAATGGAATATGCAATATTGGAAATTATTACTTGTATATTTCTAATTCAAGTGATAGCTGTAGGGGTGGAAAAAAAGGGCCAGAGACAGAAAGGAAAAATCAAGTTACTCCTTTGGATCTGTATTCTATCTGAATTGTGGAACTTAAAAGTTGTTCCAGTAAGGCATGGAAAATGTTTCTGTGATTCCTGCTGAGAATATACTAAGACCTGTCTCTGACCGGTTACAGCTAATTTCTTTTTCCACTCTTAACACCTTTTAGTCACAGCTCAGCCCCCCAATTTTTCTTTTTACTTCTTTTCAGAAGTCAGGCTATAGGACTCCAATATCTGCAACTTCCTTGGTGTTTTTTTCTTTCCACTCCTTTCATCCTTCTGCTCTTCACAAAACAATGTCTTGTGTGAAATATCTTTATTCAGAAGCACTTTCCTTTCTTTGTTTGAAAGTGGTGATAATACTATGTTTGGTTGAAGGCTACTCTCTTTTCAGCTGTCTGGGTCCATAAAGGAGCATAACAACTTTTTACAAGTACCTGAAATAAAGGGTTGTGATGGCAACCCTTCACAGCTCCCAGTTTTCATGAACCTTAATTAACCTTGTAACAATTCCCTAATTTGAAATCATTCAGGAGCAGAAAAAAAAATTGAATAACCTGTTGAAATTTGGATGAATTTATTCTTTGTTAGTCTCCAACAGAAGCACTTTTTAAAGTACTTTGAGTACTGTAAAACCTTTTCCTTGAGAATTTGAGTTGTAGTCTCTTATGACAGACTGGAGAAAGTGAGTTCCCCCTTGCCCTGTCTTTTGCTGGCACTGCTCTTGATCTTGGATCATTCTGAGGAGAAATTGCAATGCTGAAATGCAAGGAAATACAGACGTCTAACAACTATATTTACAAAATCACTCTCCTATTCACATTGTCCATTTGCACTTTATTACCTCTAGTGAGGTCTAACAGCTCCAATGTCAAGAAGGAGGCACTGAAGGTGCTGATCCTGCACTTAAGTATCCTATGGACAATATTGTCAGAAAGGCTTGAATCTGTAATGTGGTCTAATTCAAAACTGTCACAGCACTGTTTTCACTGGTCAACATGTCTTATACCACGTTGCAGAGATTTAAGACTATCTTCATAAATGAATGGGACAAATCTTGAGCGGTAAAGAGTAGGATCTCTTAGTACTGACTGCAAAAGCCATCAAGAGTCAAGTGTCCCTTTCAACATAGTTAATGTAGGTCTTTGAATGGGGAGAAAATATTTTAACAGCAGAATTCTCCTGGCTAGTACGGTATTTGTGTCAAGTACCTCCAGTGAGGAAGTGTAGCATTATGACTTTCAAATGAGAGCTAAATTGAGGGTCTGATCATCCCTTCTAGTTATTAAAAATCTCATTCTATGAAGAGAATTAAGAGCTTTTCAGTGGCATTAGCCTTGTCTTGTATATATTACTGTTTTGCATAAAATATTTCTCCTATTAGCAGTAATGCTAATAGCAGTTAATGCTATTATTAGTAATTTTACCTTTATTACGGCATTATTAGTAATGAGACACACAAAGAACTATATACTAGCTTTACTGGAAGTGAAACCTCCTGTAGCATTTCCCTTAACTCCATGTCAGGATGTGGCTCTACAGTGACTTCAAGCAAAAGTTGTCATGTACATAATATTTATTACCCCATTTTACTAACTTGATTTATTGTGGACATTTGATTTTACTACCAGAAGTGATCTGGATTGAAGGCTTGCTAAGAGTAGAAATATTTAGTAGAATTTCCAGATATTTTTATATAGAAGAACATATCAAATATAGTTTTGGCTTTAGTCTCCAGGCTAGTGATTTATATCCCAATATGAGTGAGTGCGCGCGCGCGCACACACACACACACACACACACAAACACCAAACCCTACTTTTCTGGAGAATTTGAAGAAATGAGATCTGTTAAATAAAACTATTTCTCATTGACAGTAGTTGTAATATGACTGTGTGCTTTGTCCATTTGAATTCCCTATTACTTGAAAGTTGAGTTTGAGTTTTCATGTTTTTTATGTAGCATACTGAGGTAACTGCGAATACATCTGCAGTGGCAGAAAGATTGTATATATTTTGTAGACATTCAACTGAAGAGTGTTTTGAAGAAAATAGCTACTTGAATGTATTTTGTTACTTCTATCGGTGCAGACTACACTGACTTCATAGTCAGGACATATGGCTTTTATTCTTTTTAACACAAAAGAGGAACCTGTGAAAAACACTACAAAAAAGCATGATTCAAGATTTCTCATCCTGCTTTAAAGTCAAATTCTGAACTTGACTCTCTTATTTTTATTCTTAACAATCTGAGTTAAGTGCTTTTTGTGTTGACTAATGCAGGTATAGCGTCATTCTTAATGGATGACATTGAACACTAATGTCTCTGTTCTATGTCTTTATCCATTATAGCCAGTAACAATTAAGAACATCCATGCTACTGGAAGAGCTTTGTGAACTCTGACTAACACTATCTACCGTCTCACTTCTAATTAGACTAGAGAATGAATTCTGTGTCTAAATTATTCTCTACGTAGGTCCAAACTTCACACTGTGCTAAAGCTCCATATCATGCAGCAAAAAGTAGTCCACAACCAGAAGACAATAGATTTACGCATTTGTGGCATGCACGGAGCTTTCGGGGAAAATTTGCTGTTTTAGCCAGCAGATGTCCCCATTAGTCTCAGCCAACCTCTGTAAAAGGTGTGCACCATTATCAAAGAATATTTTAGTTTGTTTTGTTTTTATTGACTGTTTTATTGACTGTGTCATTGTGTGAAAATCATTACTCCAGAAATATTTCTGGACTTTCTGTTTTTTAACAATGATATTTCAAAGCAATGCTGCCACATGAGTACCTTTGCCCAATGATTCTATATTAACTCATTTTGAATCCCAAGCATCCTATCCTTATTATTATTTCACTTCTGAATTTCCTAAATATATTTTCCTCAGAAGTTTCTATTAGCTTCTCCTGGTTTTTGCCTGTAGATAAAGTACATTAAATATTTATATTACAGTCCCTACCAAGATGTCCAAGTGCCACTGGCAATGCATCAATCAGAATAACTAGTGTTTATCATGTATTATTTGTCTGGTGAGCGGGCCTGGATTAGTCTTCAGGGAAGTTATGTCTTAGATTCTTATTACTGAATTCTGCTCTAATAAGAGTCTGTGGATCACTATCTCCTTTGAATTTTACTTCAACATACGAAAATCAGAATTTGAGGCTCTATACATGAGACTTGTCTGTAGCAGAGCAGTAAAGAGAGCAAAGGAAAGGGTTGGGGTGTCCATCAG